GAGGGTCCCTTCTACCACCCATGGGGGGCGCTGAGTATTCCTAAAGGAAGAACTCAGTAACTTTTTTTATCGTGAACCGTGCCTTTAATGGCTTCCTAGCAAGTGGATCAGATACTCAATGATTTGTGGAAGTGTATATGAACTCAACTGCGCACCGGTAAAAGAGTATTACATCTGAGCAGAAAGATGCCAAAATTTGGTCGACATAGTAGTTGCATAATTGCGAACGAACCAGTATCAAGTGATTTCGCCGATTCGAATTATGTAGGTCCGAATTTCACTCCGGACCATTTTCATCAGAAATCACCTAGGGAATAAACTTTCCCACGTACATCTTCTTATCCTACTTTACGCAATGGTCGAGCAGTCAACGCTAGTAGCACTACTCGTTGCATTATTGTGTAGTGGTCCAATTCTCCACTGCAAAGAAGGTTTTGAGGTCCTTTCAGCAAGTGTTTGGCCAAACTCAACAGATGTCCAGATTTCTTACGCGACTTTATTAAATCACCATAAAAATACTATAGAAAGGCTACTTAGATTTTATGACATCGCAATTACTTGACCAAATCAAAGTTCTTCTTCGACCTTTTGTTTGATACCGCGAGCAGTTAGAACGAGGTGTGCAAGGGAACATTCAGAATGAGCCTCAACGCCAACTGCCTGACACAAGTTCCAATGAATTTCATCGGAGTAGTAGTCGGATTCGAACTCGTAAGAAAGTACGTGTTGAATATGGCTAGAAGATTCGGTAATGACAGTGTCAAGTAGGAAAGGAAAAGGAAGTCGGATATGTTATGCGTGGCACTTGGTTAGCGTCCCTACATGGGGACTTTATAAAAATTTCAGAAAGGCTGAAGGAGATTGGACCATTGCGAGATTTTCGAAGCTTTTGAGAAATCCCTATACAAAAGGCTGACACATAAGAAAACCACAATCACAAGGTTTGTCTGTTTGGTTGCTTGCAACGCGATCGCGACCAATGGCATCTTATTGTGAACAATATCTAGGGTTAAAGAAATTTTTAGGTGAGCCTCTCGGACACCAAAGCCAGCCAAATCGATTATTGTTGTCCTCTCAAAATTCTAAACCATAGTGGATTAAGAACAACGTATAGAGCATAAGGGGTAGCGAAATCGATATTCGATTCTCTTTCTGAAAACTTTCTTGCCTGATAAGGCGGCAAAAGGCGGAAGCATAGGACTACTCACTTGCAAACAGTCCGTAGTCCAAGAGCTCCTTGATTCTGATAGTACTGCTCAACCTAAATGAACTGATAAAGTGACAGCGCGTGAATCTTTTGGGAACTACCTTGTGCCTGAACTCTTCTGGATAGAACCATGGCTGCGGATTGGTAAGATTCAAGGCATTGTTCAGGTTATTCTGGCAGATGAGATAGTTGTCACAGCTTTGAGCAAACGTCAATCCTGTAAGAGACAGTATGGAGGGTCACAAACAGCTGACAGCAAGGGAGAATGGAAAAAACCTGCTGTTCCTAGAAGAAATGGGAGCACGTAATGCAACATGGGAATGCGATGGTGCAGCACTGTGCGATAGCGTCAATGAGCCACCACCTAACGGTCGTAAACTGGCCCGCTTTATAGGTCGAAGAAAGATAAACCTGTAGCTATGTGACGATTTTCATGTGAATCACATAATTATTGGCTCGTTTTCTCGCTGATTCATGCTCCACGCTTGCCACTGAACATACCGTTTGAGGAGTTGATTTCGGCATTGATCCTGGTTTCGCCATGATTCGAAAGTTCTTTTGGCGACTAACTAGACGATGTTCAGCTCAGGGCTCGTTGTCGCCCTAGTCACATCCCTGACGATTGAGGCGGCCTCCGAAGAGTAGTCCGCTTGACTGCCCTGGGCGTATACGGTTTCAATCTGTGACTTGTCGTTCTAGTCCTTCCATCTCTTCAACTTCCGTAACATCTGATGACTTGAGTAGTAACTTGCCAACCGTAAGTTCTTGACTCCTCATCCTTGGACCTCCTATTCGATAACGTTGAGGAAGTGTGGGAACGAAGTCCCAAGCTGCCAAGTTGAATGCCCAGTTGACAGTAACTCTGTGTCTAGCCAAATGATTTTGAGAGATATAATGTTTCAGAAAAGTTCCGAAAATTTTCCCTTCCAGAGAAAAAAAGAAAAAATTATTTCCTGAGACTTCCTCCTTGGAGGGACCTGTGGCTCGTGAGGACCGCTCTCAAGTCGTTTTTTGATCTGAGAGCGCCCCATGTGCCATCCTTAAGGGCCACAGGTCCGCGAGAAGTCTCAGAAAATATTTTACCGTGAACTATGCTTTTAAACACAATGGCCTTCACTGAATCAATTGGATATCATCAGTGTGAACAAGAAAGTAATGCAATTACGAAAAAGCTGCGGAAATATGCCTCTTGTTACCAGGAGATTTGCAACGCCGTTCACGGTCCCTACACCATTGGGCATCAGGGTGGACTTGACTCTTTTCATTACCCTTGAACTTCGTACTCTGCCAAATGAGTCCGAGTGATATTAGTAAGAGGTTCGAAAGTTACCACTTTAGGGTGACAAAGGTGAATGGTAGTTGGGACCCATTAGTGGCACTACGATAAGCAGATGAGAATTTTGTTCATTACTTGCTACTAGATTACGACCGCTACCCAGAAAGGTTTGTGACTCAAGTAGAATCCTCTTTGTTCGATATCATTTGCGACTGATTTAACCGACCGGCAGTAATCTGGAATTTTCATCTAATGATGTCTCCGTCAAGAAAGGGGTCCATTGATAATTACATTTGATAATAGTACTATCAGTACACGAAACATTTGTGTGTACAGCCCATGGCTTGGTTGCCTGTACAGTCGAGCCTTCATTGTGTATTTACTCTTAAGAACGAGAGCAAAAGATCGAGAGTTCCAATTGAAGGCATAAGCATCGACCTGAATACCATTTGCAATGCCCTGGTAATCTTGTGTCAAGTTTCGTGAAAAGGAGATTATTATTTGTTCCAAAGAAAGAGTAGAGAGGCATCCGATCACTACAACTTTGGAGAGCCAGGCGGTAGCAGAGCGAACCGACTGGCCAGCGATGAGACAGTGCTTCCCAGAATTGCTTTATATCCACTCCGAAGAATTCGAGAAGTAGTGCTAGATGAATCCATTTCAAAAGTAAATGTTGTGATCATTCACGTTGAAGTAGATGTACGGAATTGGTGGGCGCAAACTTCTAATCGGGCATTCCGACTATCACACATTAAGGACGAAAGCCCGGCGTTAGCCGGGCGGTCTTACTCTTCAGGGCGAAAATCGTCGGGTTTCAAGAAAAATATAAGACTTCAGAGAAGTAGTAAAGTAGTAGGTTATCCGAAATTTTGTTTTTTAAATGTCTGAGTGCCTCTTGAGTGCAGCTTACTAAACGTCGGCGCTCCTTCACTGCAAACGCTACAGCCTTACAAAGGCGTCTTTCTTCGAAAAATCAACTGATCGCAGGCTTTTTTTGAAAATTACTCACACTATCCATACGCACAGTTCTCCATAGAAATGGTCTCTGAGATTTTTTATAGGATGAACCTGTGATCCATAAAATCGCGCGTGAGACATCGTCGGGTGTAAAAAAGACTTTCACAGGGCGCTTTAAGGGCTCAACAGGACAGGACAGGCTTGGCAAGAATCCTATTCATACGGAAATAGCTCACAAAAGGAGGAAAACGCAACACTAAGCTGAGGACAAGGACAGGATCCGACTTATGGAAAATCTTCGAAGCCANGACACTAATTTCGGAGTGAGAGAGGTGAAGAGCGATATGCTCGAAGGAAGTCTGTATTCTCGACACTTCCTCCGTGACCTTGAAAGAACGTTCTAATAAACAAACATTGGAATATACAAATCCTACTGCTGAAGATTTATTGCTGAAATCTTCAAGGAGCAATACAGAGTCCTTCATCTTTGCTACAAGTGCAACCAGCGCATTGGCAGTCCTGGTTAGTTGTGCACGGATCTCCGACTGTGTAAATCGGCTCGCCAATGAAGTTTCCTCTAAAACACAACTTTTGAGGAGAGGCTTCCCAAAGAAAATAATTTTGCTTGTCCTTACCCAGGGTTGTATTCGCATGCGACAAGTGTGTACGAATTCCAACAAGTGAAGATTCCACAGCCAATAGTGTTGCTTGATTGCCAGGCCAACTGAAGCGGCAATTGATATTCCGCGTAAATTCTGTTGAAGATTCTATCCCCACCTGAGTGTATTCCTGTATTACGTTTTGGTTGAACACTTCCATA